GTGGGGGTCCCATCAGGTTGGGGGGGGTCCCAGTGTGCCCAAACCACAGCCCTCACAGCAATCCTGGAGCAGGGAGCTCTGCTGAGTCTGGATCAAGGGCACAGGGAGGTGAGGAGGCAGCTGGAAAGCACAGCCAGCACCTCCTGTCTCACACCCTCTGCCTCTCAGCCTGCTGTGACCCCACCAAACCCCTCCCTGATCCCATCTCCAAGCCCTCCCTGGAGCTGAGGAAGACCCTTACCCCCGCTGGGCCACCTCAGAGAGAGGCTCTGACCTGTGTGTGCATGATGACACGGATGACCTTGCAGTACTTCTTCATTGCTGCAAAATCCTTCTCCAGCTGCCTTTTGCCAGCCTCATCCTGCCATTTCTTGCAGTACTTGGTGAATGCCTTCTTCTTGCTCTTGTGCCTGTGACAGAAGTGGGTTAGCTGCTGGACGGAGGCAGCACAGAGAGAGGATAGGTCACCTTGCCAGGCACCTCCCTGAAGGCACAAGGTGCCTGTGGCTACCTGAACCTCATCTGAACCTCACCTGAGTCTCAGAGCCTTGAGGTGGGAAGAGGGAAGTGAGTAATGAAGCATGAAAAGGGCTCAGTCAAGTGTAATTCAACCCTTTCTGCATGAGGAATACAGTTGTCTCCCACTGACTGGCTCAGAGCCATCAAAACATAGGAGAAAACAGGGATCAGAGGGATGTGGTGGGTGGGTCTCCATGGCACTGCTGCAGGAGACAGGATTCCTACAGTGAGGAAATTCCTGTTTCCATTTTCCTCTCTGCTCAGGAAGATTTGGAGTGCTGATGTTTGCAGGGACCTAGGGACACATTCCACATCCATTTCCCCCCTGACAAATCTGCTTTTACTCCATGTAGTGCCTCAGCTTAGCAATTCCAGTCAAATGGGGAGTAGCTGAGCTCAACCTACATGAAGGAACAGGAACCTGCCACATGATAGTGTGGAGAGAGCTAACTTCTCTCAACTATTAGCATAAATTTACATATGCATATGCTGATCCCTAGTATTGAGCTGTTTGCATTGGCCCTGTGCATGACTAAATAAACAGCAGCTTCACTCCACCAGGAGCTGAGATGTTTGGGCATCCTCAAGAAGCCTGGAGGGAAGTGCTGTGAGGGATACCTCACACACAGAGCCCCAGGAGCCCACTCAGACCATCATCACAGTGTCACTGAGGTTGGAAAAGACCTCCAAGACCATAGAGTCCGACCTGTGTTTGATCACCACCTTGTCAACTAGACTAGAGCATTGTGCCACAACCAATCATTCCTTGAACACCTCCAGGGTCCTCCAGTCACCTCCATGACACCACCGCCTCCCTGGACATCCCATTCCAACATCTAATGACCCTTTTTGGGGCACATACCAGTTCTTGTAGAAGCGCCGTCGGCACTCATCGCTGATGTGCTCAGCAAACACAGTCTTGAAGTTCCTCAAGCCCTTTGGTGTCTCAATGTATCCCACAATCCCCACCACTACCATTGGGGGGGTCTCAATGATGGTCACAGCCTCCACCTCCTCCCTCTTGGAGATCTCTGGAAGGAGCAAAGAGAAGTGGTGATCAGCATCATCCTGGATTGGATCATTACCTGGGGGATTCATGGTCTGGTTGTCATAGGGAGTGTGCTGAGGACAAGGTCTTGGTCTCCCAGCCAGTCCCATCCCCTAACCTATCAGCCACCATCCTGGAGGCTTCCAGGAACACCAACACTCAGCTCATGCTGAGGTGGCTGTTGGCCATCCAAGATCTGGATAACCACATTGGGGTTGGTCTCTTCTCCCAGGCAACTAGTAACAGGACAAGAGGACATAGTCTCAAGCACCACCAGGGAAGGTTTTGGTTGGACATTAGGAGGAATTTCTTTCCAGAAAGGGTGATTAGACACTGGAATGCGCTGCACAGGGAGGTGGTGGAGTCACCATCCCTGGACGTGTTCAAGGAACAACTGGACATAGCACTCAGTGCCATGGTCTTGTTGACATGTTGGTGTTAGGTCATAGGTTGGGCTTGATGATCTCAGAGATCTTTTCCAACCTGATTGATCCTGTGGGATTGCCTGGAAGCTGTGAGCTCCACCACCCAAGAAACCTATTCCCATGTTTGCCTAGTGGATATGTCTCCAGCCAAGCCTTACTGAGCCCAGGCCTGTGCACCTCCCGCACAGTGTGTGTCATCCCAGCTTTGTAGCCCAGGAAGGCTGTCAGGTGCACTGGTTTGCTGGGATCATCCTTGGGCCATGCCTTGACCTTTCCTCGGTGCCGGCAGCTCCTCTTGTGGGGGAGGAAGCCCAGGTGGCCATGCCTGGGAGCAGAGAACTTGCGGTGGGACTGTGGGGAGGAACACAAACAGCAGCTTCGCTCTCAGCTTCTAGAGAACACCAGGACACAAAGCATAACAGGAAATCTTCCCTTTCACCTGAGAATGCTGCAGGGATTCTGGGCTCTTTCTTGGTTCCAACACAAGGACTCATGACAGGGTGAGATTTTGGTCAAGTTTCCATCATGTGCATGGAAGGATTTCATAGGATCATGAGATGGTTTGGATTGGAAAGACCTTAAAGACCATCCAGTCCCAACCATGGCCAGGGACACCTTCCACCAGCCCAGGTTGCTCCAAGCCTCATCCAACCTGGCCTGGAACACTCCCAGGGATGGAGCAGCCACAGCTCCTCTGGGCAACCTGTGCCAGTGCCTCAGCACCCTCACAGGGAGGAATTCCTTCCTAATATCCAATCTGAACCTCCTCTCTTTCATCTTGAATTAGTAAGTTTCTGGATAAGTTATGCCATTAGGTAAAAAAACTTTATATGATCTCTCTCCTTCTGCATTACTTGAGGACTCTGAAGGAGAAACATTCTTTACTAGGTCTGTCCTTCTCTGCTCTTAATTATAATGACTAATTTAGTCTCCTGTAGCACCAAAAGGGCCTGCTCAGAATTCCTGGGCTTTGGGTCATCAGGTACTGCCAAGGATCAGAAAAAAACCAGGCAAGGATGCCCAAAGGAATTGGCAACAGGAAGATGCACAGGTTCAAAATGCATCTTGAAAGCCAAATTAGAAGAGGCAAGGACATAAACCTCAACCACAAGGCCATGCAGGGAGGAAGCAACATGTCACAAAAGTGGCTCCAAGGCAGAGTCAGCTAAAGCAGCAAAGGGTTAGTCCTACACTCACTGCAGCTCCCTCCTGGCTCAGACCAGCCCCAGCACCTGCTGCACTTCCCACCAAACTTATTTTCCATTCTCAGTGGGACCATGAGGAATCTAAGCCCATTGCAGCAGCACTAATAGCTCTGCTCACCCAGCCCTGCACAAGCACAGGCAACAGAGCTGAGCTGTACCAACCATGGGGTGTCTTCAGCCTGGGGCAGCAGCAGCAAGAGGCTGTCAGGAATTGCCTCCTCAGATTAATCCTTAAGATGGTTCTCAGTCTGAAGACACAAATTTAGCTGCTCACTTCACCCCCTAAGATATTCATTTCACTCCTGGACAGGCTGGCAGGTTGGACATGGCAGTTGTGGGGTGGTAAAGGTCAGTTGCTGCTGGCTCAGTTTACACTTCTCCCTGCAAAAGGGCTTCAATGTGAATGGTAGGAATCAGGCCATTTTCTTAGCAGGTACCACACACCCACAGCTGTCAACACCTGCTCAGACTGAAAACCTTTCCACCAGTTCAGGAAGAAAAGGCTTTGAGATTCAGCGTGGGAAAGAGATTGAGGCAATAAATCATAGAATAATAGGATTGTTTGGGTTGGAAGGACCTTAAGGACCATCTTGTTTCAACACACTGCCCTGGGCAGGGACACCTTCCACCAGCCCAGGTTGCTCCAAGCCCCATCCAACCTGGCCTGGAACACTCCCAGGGATGGAGCAGCCACAGCTGCTCTGGGCAACCTGTGCCAGTGCCCTCAGCACCATCACAGGGAGGAATTCCTTCCCAATATTCCATCTAAATCTACTTTCTTTCAGTTTAAATCCATTCCTCCTTGTCCTGTCGCCCCATGCCTTGTCACAAGTCCCTCTGGAACTCTCTTGGAGCCCCTTTAGGCACTGGAAGGGGTGCTAAGGTCTCCTGGAGCCTTCTCCAGGTCAACACCCCCAGCTCTCTCAACCTGTCTCCATAGCAGAGCTGCTCCAGCCCTTGGAGCATCTCTGTGTCCTCCTCTGGATTCCCTCCATGATCTCCATCTTCTCTTGCAGTTGTCGCCCAGAGCTGGAGGCAGCACTGCAGGTGGATCTCACCTGAGCAGGGCAGAGGGGCACAATGCCATCCCTGCTGCCCGCGCTGCAGGCTGAGCCCAGCACTGGGCTGGTTTATGGGTACCAGTGCACCCTACAGGTCATGTCCAACACTCCAAACCATCCTCCCAGTGCTTCCCTCCATCCCTTCTCCCCCATCCTGTGCTGCGGCTGCATCACCTCAGCCGTGAGCCCTCTGCACCTCGTCCCTGCCCTGCACCCTATCACCCCCATCCATCCCGGGGTGTCCAGGAATCCCTGAGGGGTCCGAATGTGTCATGGGGGCTGTGAGGGGACGGGGTCGACACTCCCTGGGTGTCTGGATGAGTCGTGGGACCGTGAGGGACTGC